TTGGTTCGCTCAGCAGCTCCACAGAGCCGCCCCTGCTGGCTGTGAGCGGCCTGTTTCTCCACCCCCACCTCTGGACTGGGGCTCATCTCGGCTCTGGCTGCCTCCCACTTTGGCTCACTCCCCAGTCCCACTCCGCCCCCCTATACCACTCCTTCCGGGCCACAGCCAGATTCCAGCCCAAACTCTGGGCTGGGCCTGGCAAGAAGGAGTTGCCTTGTTCTGCTCGTCATCGGCCTCGCTGGCCTCACCCAGCCTTGCCCAGCCTTGCCCTGACTGGACCCTGCTTCCGTTGTCTGAAGACCACCCCTGTATTGCACACCAGCACTTGGTGGGCTTGGGGAGGGGCAAGGAAGGCTGTGCTCAGCACTTCCTCACCTCTGCCCCGTGGGCCTGGCCGCAAGGACACTCTGGCTGACGTGCTCCCTGCCCTTCCCCCGCAGTGTGGCTGGCCACCCAGAACCACAGCACCCTGGTGACGGAGCGCAGTGCCGTGCCCTTCCTGCCTGTGAACCCCGAATACTCAGCCACACGGAATCAGGTGAGGGGGCTGGATGGGGGGCCTGGGGCTATCTCCTCCCCTCCGGGGTTTGCCAGCTCTGTGGGCCCTGCCCTTGCTCCGTGGCTGCCGCCTGGGCTGCAGCCTGGGCCTGCTCTCCTCTCCCGGCCTAGGTCTCCCTCAGGGCTCTGCCGGTGCTGGGCTTGGGAAATGGGAATGAGGCTGGTTTTGAGCCACTTGCTGAGCAACTTCCAAGGGGTGGGGGGAGGATCCCAGCCTCAGGAGCTCCCCAAAGCACCCAGAATCAGTGTTATCCCTGACCCCCTGCTCTGGCCATGAGCCAGGTAAAAGGGGACTCCCTTGCAGCTTGGTTCCCCCTGCCCTGTCACCTAGAAGGGGGCCCGTCTTGCCAGCTGGGTTCTTTCTGGCTTGTAGGGGCGGCAGAAGTTGGCCCGCTTTAATGCCCGAGAGTTTGCCACCCTGATCATAGACATTCTCAGCGAGGCCAAGCGGAGACAGCAGGGCAAGAGCCTGAGCAGCCCCACAGGTGGGAAGGGCGTGGATAGGGCAGCGGGCAGTGGGCACTTTTCGGAATATTCTCTTTCATGGCTCCCTTTTGGGGTGGCGTGGTGGAGGGTTGTGTGGCTGGATCCTGAGTGATGGGACTGTGTCCTCAGACAACCTCGAGCTCTCTGCAAGGAGCCAGAGTGACCTCGACGACCAGCACGACTACGACAGTGTGGCCTCGGACGAGGACACGGACCAGGAACCCCTGCGCGGCGCTGGTGCCACTAGGAACAACCGTGCCCGGGTCTGAGCACTGCCCCACCCCGGGACTCCACCAAGGCCCAGCTCTGTCCCCTTAGAGCCTGGGGCTTCGGGGATAAGTGGGCTGGTTACGGCCTTGAGAAGAGCCTTCTGTGGGCATTTACGCCCTGCCCTGAGGGCTGATGAGCCTCTGTCTCACCCTGCAGAGCATGGACTCCTCAGACCTCTCTGACGGGGCCGTGACCCTGCAGGAGTATCTGGAGCTGAAGAAGGCTCTGGCCACCTCCGAGGCGAAGGTGCAACAGCTCATGAAGGTCAACAGCAGCCTGAGCGATGAGCTCCGGAGGCTGCAGAGGGAGGTAGGGGCGGCAGCGCTGGTGGGGGAGGGGGGCTCCCAGCGTCCTGCTTGGAGGATCCCCGCTCCCAGAGGTGGGGTGCTGCCTGGAGCCCCTGGAGGTTCTGACACCCTGTGCACTCTCAGATCCACAAGCTGCAGGCAGAGAACTTGCAGATCCGGCAGCCGCCGGGGCCGGTGCCCACAGCCCCGCTGCCCAGCGAACGGGCAGAACACACATCGATGGGGCCTGGTGGGAGTGCCCACCGCAGGGACCGCCAGGCCTTCTCCATGTATGAACCAGGCTCCGCCCTGAAGCCCTTTGGGGGCCCACCTGGGGATGAGCTCACCACCCGGCTCCAGCCTTTCCACAGCACTGTGAGTTGCTCGTGGGTGTCAAGGACTGGGGGAGACAGGGCGGGAGCTGCCATGGGGCCCTCCGTGATGCCTCCCGTGCCATCTCCCAGGAGCTGGAGGACGACGCCATCTATTCAGTACACGTCCCTGCTGGCCTTTACCGGGTAAGCAGGGCCTGGGGCACGGGGGTCCATGTCTGCAAATGGGTTGTGAGCCCCAGCAGGTGTGGCCTTTGCGTTGACGATGGCTGGGCACGGGGAGGACCCTCGCTGCTGGGAAGCTGGAAGGCGGGGTGGGGGGGCAGGGAGGAAAAACTGACTCCAGCCCTCCTGGGTTTCAGATCCGGAAGGGGGTATCGGCCTCCGCCGTGCCCTTCACTCCCTCCTCCCCGCTCCTGTCCTGCTCCCAGGAAGGAAGCCGTCACACGGTAACGTGCCCATCCCCGTTGCAAGGGACGGGCCGAGTGAGGTGTGCACCTGGAAAGCGATGGGCTGTGTGGGTCTGTGACTGTGTAGGTCATCTACTGCCCTTTCCCCGATCCTCCAGAGCAAGCTTTCCCGCCACGGCAGCGGTGCCGACAGCGACTATGAGAACACGCAAAGTGGGGACCCACTACTTGGGTGAGGCACCCCGGGAAGAAGGCTGAGTGGGCCCTGGCATGTCTGTGAGGGTGCTGGCAGGCAGCCTTACCACTGGCATGTCTCTTTCTCACCCTGGCCTCAGAATGGAAGGGAAGAGGTTTCTTGAGCTGGGCAAGGAAGATGACTTCCACCCAGAGTTGGAAAGCCTGGATGGAGACCTTGACCCTGGGCTTCCCAGCACAGAGGATGTCATCCTAAAGACGGAACAGGTCACCAAGAACATTCAGGAATTGTTACGGGCTGCCCAAGAATTCAAGCATGACAGGTACGGGGGTGGGACGTGAGGCTCCTAGGGGTCCCTGGGTGTTGCGGAGGGGAGGGGTCCCGCTGGTGTTCCATTGTCCCTGCGAACCCTAATTTTTACCCTCCCCTCCCCACAAAGCTTTGTGCCCTGCTCAGAGAAGATCCATTTGGCTGTGACCGAGATGGCCTCTCTCTTCCCAAAGGTACAGGGGCTGGAAAGAGGAGCAGGATCGGAGGGTCTCTGGGTGGGACAGGTGCAGGGAATGGGAATCCTATCTGGGTGCAGAGGACGACACACCATGGGCCACGTTCATGGCTCATGGTTTGAAGTCCAAGGCCCAGCTCCCTCCTCCCCTCCAGAGGCCAGCCCTGGAGCCTGTGCGTAGCTCACTGCGGCTGCTCAATGCCAGCGCCTACCGGCTGCAGAGTGAATGCCGGAAGACCGTGCCCCCGGAGCCGGGCGCCCCCGTGGACTTCCAGCTGCTGACTCAGCAGGTGATCCAGTGCGCCTACGACATTGCCAAGGCTGCCAAGCAGCTGGTCACCATCACCACCCGAGAAAAGAAGCAGTGACCATTCTCCCTGCACCCTCACCTGCACCCTGGGACCTCACTGGCCATGGGAGCTGGGCCACTCCAGACACTAACCCCCACCCCAACAGAGCCGCTGGCGCAAGTGCCCTTAGTGCTGCCACTCTCCCCTGGCAGCCAGGCGCCCTGGTGCCCGCCCCCCTCAAGCCCCTAAGGATGGGGAGGTGGGGTGGCAGGAGCTTCTGTCCCCCACATTCCATGCACCTCCCCCTGTACATAGCATTCCCCTCTTCCCCCCCTCCCTCAGCGTGCAGGGGCCTGTAAGGCATCACTCCCAGACCCTAGCCCTCGGGGCACCCTCAGCCAAGGGTGGGGTGGGGACACTCCAAGTGGGGCCATTCCCCCTCCAGGCACCCCACCCCATGAGCCAGTTCAGCCCTATTGGGGGCTGAGCGGGGGCATCCTCTCCTTTGTACATAATCTCTGGATGTCCCCGCCCTGTAGCCACCAGCCCCCCTGCTGCTCTCCTTTAATGCCAAACGGCCCCTGTCCAGAACACAGGCCCCAGCCTGTGTTCCCAGGGTCCCTAGCAGCAAACACTGGAAACTTTTTTTTTCTTTCTCCTCTTCCACTCCTTAATTTTAACATTGTGGTAACTGAGTGTCCCTGTGTGCCTGTGTGTGTGCGGGGCGGCAGTGCCGTTCCGGAGGCCTGGCCCATCTGGAGTTCTGTGAAGGGTGAGGGGACCAGAGCAGCAGGACCAGTGTCAGGGGTCAGCCACCCTTCCCCATTCCCCATTATTGGGGCCAGGGACTGCTGGTAACCAGCTGGGGTCCAACCCGTTGCCTCCCCTCATCTGTCTCCCTGATTCATATCCCTTTCTCTATGAACTTAACAAAAACCACTTCCCTGTATCTCGCCTCCACCTCCCTTGTGGAGGGAGATGTGCTGGCTGGGGCAGAGAACTGAGCATCTGAGCCCGGGGCTGGCTCCCCGGGGTCCCTGACTCAGCTGAGAGCCCCCTTCCCATAACCTCTGAGAGGCCAGCACCTACCCTGCAGTATCTGGGTATCTGGAATCTGGGCTGCGGCCTGGGAAGGCTGGAGAGGCAGATGGCAGTGCCTACCGGCTCTCCTCCCTGTCCTGCCTCTGTCCCAGGGGCCAGGCTCTACCTGTGTGGTGGTAGGTGGGCTGTCAAGACGTGTGTCATGTACATTTGTATCAAAAATAAATAAGTGACCATGTGCTGTTGCTGACGCTAAAAAATGGCCCCAGGGGTGGGGGGACTGAGGAGCTGGCAGACGTGAGGGAGAAAGTCCAACCTGTTGAGAACATGAAGCAAATGAAGATTCCAGCTGCTCCAGCCCTGAAACTCAGAATGACAGCCTTTGTGTTCTAGAAAAGGAGCTGGGAAATAAGGCTTCCCTAACTAGGGCCACCTCCCCACTCCCCACCATGGCAGCAGGTCGGGCTCTTATCAGGCTCCTAAAACTATGGCTAAGGCCAGCTATGGGGAAGAGGTGCCTAACTTGCTGTTGTGAACGCCCACTTCAAACAAAATCTGAATGGCCTCGGCTGGCGTCCTGGGTTGGAAGTGTCTGTGTGGCTGACGCACAAGTTCAATCCCAGACTCTACCAAAATAATTTAATTAGAAATACAGGCAAGGGAGGCGGAAAGGGCCCCTTTCCTCACCGGAAGAGTGGAACACACCACAGGGACGAGCCCCTTAGCAGTGCTGAGGCGGGTCTGCTCCGCCTGGCCACCAGGGGGCGACCCTGCGCAGGGTCCACGTGGCAGAGGTCGCGGCCTCCCGGGCGACAAAGCAAACCTGCCACGGTGGCAGGGCCAGGGCAGGTCAGTCGGAGCTGTCCCCATCTGGGCCGCTGTCCGGCGTGGGTGGGAGCAGGGGTCTCCGGCGGGAGCGCTTGACCCGGCGCGGGGGCATGAGCAGCCTCCTTTTGAGCACAGCTACGGGCAGGGCGGGGACCGGTCAGAGCACCGCAGTGGGGCCAGGGCAGACCTGGGCAGGCAAGACGGGCAAGTGCTCACCGGCCACCGTGTCCTGGCTGTCGGCCGTGGGCTCCCAGTAGATGCTCTCCCCACGTCGGAAGTTTCGATGCAACCGAGTGCAGAGCGTGGCCAGAGTGAGCAGCACCAACAGGAAAGTCAGGGCCATGGCAGCCCAAGCGGCCTCCTCCGTGCGCGGGGTGGGGCCCCGGGCCACCCGCGGAGGCGCCGCCGCCCGAGGGGCTGGGGAAGCCTCCCCTGGACACGTGCAGCTCCCTGAGCTGCTCTGCCCTTTGGGCACTGGAGCCTCTAGCCTGGAGCTGGCATTGCCTCCAAGCCCCTCAGGCAGCACCGGGGGAGTGGGCACAGATGGCGCCTCACCCCGGGCAGCCAACATTGGCTGCCGGGGCCCCTGGCTCTGCGGGGAAGCAGAGGAGAACCTCAGGCCTGAGGGGGTGGGCTGGAGACCAAGGGCAGCCCGCAGCCCCCGCCTCTTGGCACCACCAGGAGACAGGTGCCTGGGCCCTCTAGTTGCCTCCTCTGCACCAGGGGGCCGCCAGCTCCACAGAGTAAAGGCCAAAGCTGAAGCCTGGGGACAGAAATAGCAGTCACCTTTTACCCTGCCCAGGTAACCCAAGGACCCCACCACCAACCAAGCCCAGCACCCCTCACCTGCACACACCCTCTCCAGCACAGCCTCCCTCTACCTGGCCTTGGCACCAAGGACCCAGAAAGCCCATCAGAGCAGAGCCATGCCGCCTTCTTCCTCTGCCTCCGCCGCCACCTCCTCTTCAGCAAGTGGGTAGCCCGGGCCGGCTCTATCCACGCCATCTCCAGCACCACGCCCCATGCTGCCAACACCAGGGGCTAGGAAAGCAGAGCTTAGATGAAGGTGGGGAGCAAGCAGGAGGAAGTCTCTGCATTTTCCTTCCCCTGCACATGGGGCTACCGCCTCTGCCAAAGGCAGACAACCACCTTTCATAACCACTTACCCGCTCCTGAGTAAGGCTAGCGTCAGCGGCCAGTGAGGGCTGGGCCACACAAACGTGGGCCAGGAGGGCAAGCTGGAGCTTCAGCCAAGGATGTGTGCAGGGGTGGTAGAAGAAGCGGACATCCTCGGCCTAGAGAAAAAAGCATGGAGACACCACTCCAGGCCCAGGGCACTCTGAGAAACCCAAGGTCTCCCATTCTGGGGGCCAGCTTAAAGGGATCCTGGGGGTGGCCGGATGACCCACCTGCAGGGTTCAGGAAAGGACAAAGAGCCCTGGGTGCTGGCAAGCATTCCCTCCCGCCTCTGAGTGTTCCTCTCACCCCTCCTCCCCATCAGGTGCCACCCCTCGAAGCTCACAGCTTCCCTGACAGCAAGCCTGGTTAATGCTGTCAGGCCCCACTGTTTAGCTGTTATTCCTCTGCGCCTGCAACAATGGCTCCACAGGTCCCCGGTCTAGACTAGAAGCATCCCCCACATGGAGACCAGGTCTTCTATTTACTGATTCTATCTATATATTCAATCTCCCCGCCAAACATCCAAATACAGGACACTCAGGCAACAGGTGCATGATCCCACGACAGAAACACTTCAACTACTATTAATTCTTTGATTGAGCTGGCCTGACGCTCAGATGTTATAGGAGATGCCAGAAGCCAACTCCTGGACTCTGCGGGGAACGTAAAGGAAACTCAGGGCAACAGAACCAACGCAGATGAAAGAGCAAACTAATAAAACTCAAAGTGAGTAGTGGCTCAGTTATAAGAGCTAAGTTGTAAGCATTACATGAATTTGGAGAAGGTGATGAATAAGGGCTGGCGTGATCGGGCATGGTCTCGAGAAAGCGGACTCTCGCGCTGGGCTTTGGAGGTGGATGGGATGGATGACAGGAGGGCTGGGCGCTACCCACTTCAGCTTCAGGTGAGGAGAGGCTGGTGTGGAGAACAAGCAGCAGCAAAGGTAGAGCAGTGGCAATGAGGCTGGAACTCACGTGTGTTGAGCAAACCAACACAAACAGAGGGGGAACCAAAGATCTGGGGATGTCAGATGAGGCTTATTTAGGCAGGGCCCGAAAAGCTGGGGGTGGCAGGTGGGGAGAGGCATCAGAAAAAAAAGCCACTGACGTTTCTGAACAGTGGAAGGATTTAATGAAAGGGTGTTTGAGGGAAGGAATCAGGTAGGTGGCATGAGGTTTCTTGGCCTGGAGCTCTTACAAGGTTCAAAAAAGAGTTAGATGTGGGGCACCTGAGTGGCTCAGTCATTAAGTATCTGCCTTTGGCTCAGGTCATGATCCCAGGATTCTGGGATTGAGCCCCATTATCAGGCTCCTTGCTTGGTGGAAGGCCTGCTTCTCTCTCTCCCACTTCCCCTCCTTGTGTTCCCTCTCGCTGTCAAATAAATAAATAAATAAATAAAAATTAAAGATGTTTCAAAAGGAAAAACCAAAGGGTCAGGGAAGCTATCTGACCACTGTCAATGAAAACAGAGTTGGCCATGCAAGGTGAACCCAGGTTTTGGTGCCTGGTAACCCTGGGCACACACATACAGCTTCCTACTGCCCCCAAGTACCATCACACACAATTCATTTAGGCCTCGGGAGCAGGGACATTACTCACATCCCCTCTTAAGAAAACTGGGTCCCAGAGGCACCTGAGTGGCTCAGTGGGTTAAGGCCTCTGCCTTCTGCTCAAGTCATGACCTCAGAGTCCTGGGATCAAGCCCCCTCTTGGGGGGGGGGGGGGGGGGTCTCTGCTCAGTGGGGAGCCTGCTTCTCCCTCTCTGCCTGCCTCTCTCTGCCTACTTGTAAGCTCTGTCAAATAAAATCTTAAAGAAAAAGAAGAGAAAAGAAAAGAAAAAAAGAAAGAAAGAAAAAATGGGCCCAGAGAAGTCAGGAGAGTTCCCACAGTCACACAGAAGAGTGACGGCATGGATCGTTTCTTTTTGGTCAGAGTTCCCCTTGCAGCCTCCTGCCGAGGGGCAGATAGCTAGGTAGCTACTCGACAGCATTCCTGACACAGCACTGACAGGGCAGAGGCCCACGGTTCCCTGTCTAGGGACTGAGAACACGGTCTTGGTGGGGAATGGAACTGGAAAGCAGAAAACGAGGAGCAAGCCTGCAAGGAGCTCACGGGCTCCCACCAAGGAGGGCTCCCGCCTGTACGTACCTGCCATCGGCTCCTCCTCGCGTAAGTCACTCTCGGTGACACCTGTGCACGGAGGGGAAAGAGGACTTAGAGCAGCTGGGGGACTCCGTGCGGGGGGAGGGAAAGGGACAGCAGGCCCCATACCGCCGGCTGGGAGGGAGACATTGGCAACTGACAGCCAGAGGAATAGGCAGAGGTCCTCAGAGGATGACTGTGGAGGGCGCAGCCCGGCCAGAGCAGGGCCGGGTTGCTCCTCCACACCCCTCTCTCCCACCCCACCATCAGGCTCCTACCTGTGGCGGCAGAGGCCACAGGCCCTCGGGACAATGGGCTCCCACTTCCTCCTCCGGCTCGGCCACCACCTGTGGGTCCAAGGCCCAGAAGAGCTGGGACACTGGGCTTGGCGTGGGCCCTGCCCTCCCCTCCCAGGCCCAGCCCGCCGGGGGTGGAGGGGGTTACTCTTAGTCCCCTCCACGCGCCCCTCCTTCCAGGACGAACTTTCGGCAAAGCGCTTTGGGATCCCAGGCCGAAGCCTGCTCGGGAGCGCGTCGCCTTACCTCACTAGGACCTAGGAGCCCCGCAAGGGCTGCCAGGAGAAGCAGCTGGGGGGAAGGCGGAGGAGGCGCCATCCCTGCCCGCCCGGGAAGCTGGCGGCCGCCGGGCAAGCCAGGGAGCGCGTGCCCCTGCGTCGCCCCCCGTACCGCCCCTATGCCCACGTAGAACCCGGGCGCGCGCGCTCGTCGTCCCGCCCCCACCCCCAGGACGCGCGCCCCGCCGCTCCAGGCTCGCGCCCCCCCCCCGCCTCGCCCCTCCCCCGCAGCTGCGAGCTACTCTCGCCCCGCCTCCGCCCCGCCAAGGCCCGCCCACAACCGCGGACTTGGCGCGCACGCGCCCTAAACTCGAAGCCGGAAAAGTTTTGTGTAGGTTCCCCGGCCCGAGTGGACTGTGCTGCCAGACCCGCGGGGAATCCCTCCTTCGCCCGCGCTTTCGTCCCATCGCGTCTCCGCGGCCTGCAGCCTGGGTGGGATCATGGAGCTGGGCGAAGGGCGGGAAATGGGATCCCAGTGAAGCGAGTGGCTCCGGAGGTACGCTCCTCCCGCAAACCCGCTTCAGACACGTCAGTATGACCTGCAACTAGATGAGGGGCAGAATCAAGAAGTCCGAGCTGCGAGAGGAAGAGAGTCCCCGCTCTAGAGCTTCACCTTCAGTCCATCCCACCCGTGCCCTCGAAAAGAGGGCCCGAACCTAGCCAGAGGAGTTTCGGAGGGTCTCGGGCCTCTACCCGCCCCAGTCCCAGAAGTCCCAAGAAGCCGAAGCCGGGCCTGGGGCCGCTTTGCTCCCCCACGCCCGCCTCCTCTCTTGTCGTTTGTTCAGCGATGGCCGGCGTGTGCTTAGGAAGACATTTGTCACCGTGAGGTGGAAGACGCAGAGGGGAGAAGGGAGAGCCGGTTCGGCTACCCTCTTCCCAGAGCCCTTCACCTTGGCCTGGCTGAGGATTGAGGAAAAACGGGAACTTGGGTGGAGGGTGAAGGTTGAGATGCCCAGCCTCAAACTTCGAAGTAGAGCAAAAACGGGTTATTTCGAAATAAAGAACGTGACTTACAAGAGGGTTATTTACCCATCCCTCCCTCGTTCCCCTGTAATTGCTAGCTACTGAAATGATGAAGGGACTGCAACCCAGCCCCTGCCACCGCCCCATCGCAGACTGACAGGCATCCCGGAGCAGGACTTCTGACTGCATCTTTTCCCCCAGCTTGGGGATGCTGCTTCTGGGGAAGCCCCGCTCAGGGAGCGGTGTTGAGGGTTTCCATTAGCTGCAGCTAGGCTCCTGGGAGCCCCATGCTCCCGGGGTGTTGGCGGGGGCGGGGGGTAGCGCGCCGGCATCAAATCCGCTGTCGGACGGGACGCCGGCCCAACCCCGCTGGCCCGGAGCCGGACCCCCCGCCCGGCGGGGCTCTAGTGTAGTTGAGGGCGCCCGCAGGGCCGAGACAAACACCGAGGTCAGAGAGCACGTCCGAGCCTGCGAAGGGAAGGAGCGGCTAGTTGCTCCGGCTGCAGCTGCAGCGGCCCAGCGGGAGCCAGAGAGCCCGCGCCCGGTGCTGGGGTTTATTCACTTCTTCCTTTTGCTACTTCTCAGCTCCGGCCCCTGAGGGCGCAGCGACTCATCGTCTCCCCCCAGCAGCTACACACTAAGCGGGGCCGACGGGAGGGGTCGTGGGGGGGGGGTCTTTGATGCTTATCCCGTGCCCCGATCCTCGGTCTCCGAGTGTCCCCACTCTCTGCCGCCAACACCCCACTCCTCGGCTCGCTGCCCTCCCCACTCCCTTCCGGCTCGCCCGCGCGTCCTCGCTCCCTTTTTGTGGCCTAGGCTCCTTTCACCTTCTGCTCCAGCTTGTCGCAATCTCTGTACAAAGGGCCTGGGGCGGGATTGGGGGCGGGCGAGGGGAGCCGGGCCCGAACTGGCTGCCTCTGCGGGGCCACGGCCAATCCGGAGCGCCCACCGCCCACCCCCACCCCCGCGCTGGAGAGCCCTGGGCAGCCGCCGGCGGCCGGGCGGAGTCGCCCGCAGAGTGGGGAGCTCGCAGAGGGGACGGCCCCGCCGCCTGCCGCCCTCCAGCCGCCGGGGGCTCTGCTACCTCGCCATGCCGCCGTGGGACGCCGCCCTCGCCCTGCTGGTAGCCGCGCTCGCCCTGCTTGGCGTGCTGGCCCCGCGGCTGCGGCGCGCCGTCGGAGCGAGGACTGTGCCGGCGGCCGGCGGCCAGGACCACGAGGAGGAGACGGGCGGCGGAGGTGCCGCAGACCAGTTCAGCGACGGGCGGGAGCCACTGCCCGGCGGGTGCAGGCTCATCTGTAAACCGTCGGCGCTGGCTCAGTGCTTGCTGAGCGCCTTGCGACGCTCGGCAGCGCTGGTGCCGCGCCCGCGCTCCTGGCTCTGCGGGCCCCACCTGCAGACCCTCTGCCACTTCGTGCTGCCCGTGGGGCCGGGGCCTGAGCTGGCCCGGGAGTACCTGCAGTTAGCGGACGACGGGCTGGTGGCCCTGGACTGGGTCGTGGGACCTTGTCCCCGGGGCCGGCGGGTCACCAACGCGGGAGGCCATCCCGCGGTGCTGCTGGTAATCCCCAATGCGTGGGGGCGCCTCACTCGCAACGTGCTCGGCCTCTGCCTGCTCGCCCTGGAGCGCGGCTACTACCCGGTCATCTTCCACCGCCGCGGCCACCACGGCTGCCCGCTGGTCAGCCCCCGGCTGCAGCCTTTCGGGGACCCGTCCGACCTCAAGGAGGCTGTCACTTACATCCGCTTCCGACACCCGGCGGCCCCTCTGTTCGCGGTGAGCGAGGGCTCGGGATCCGCGCTCCTGCTGTCCTACCTGGGCGAGTGCGGCTCGTCCAGCTATGTGACCGGCGCCGCCTGCATCTCGCCGGTGCTGCGCTGCCGCGAGTGGTTTGAGGCCGGCCTGCCCTGGCCCTACGAGCGGGGCTTCCTGCTCCTCCAGAAGATGGCCCTCAGCAGGTGGGTGACGGAGGCCGAAGACCGGCAAGGAAGAGGAGGGCGTAGGGGTCTTGGGCTGACGAAGAAACAGACCTGCCTGGTAGCGAATCACATAGGTTTAGGGCAATTTGGGCAGGGCTCTCCGCACACGCTTTCCGAAGCTATCCAAACCCACTAGACAGAACCAGGGAAACAGGTTTAAAGGCCATGGGCGGACTCAGCATCATTATGGTAGAACAGGGACACCTGCCCTGGGGCCCCATGGCCTTGTGTTAGCCCCAGGGTGTCCTAGCAACTGAGCACCTACCTGCCCCACCTGTAAGCCGAGGCAGCGGCACACGTTTACCACTTAACCCACAGCTTGTCGAATCAGCAGAGTGTTCTGGAAGCAATTAGGACTGATTGTCTGCCCGGAATGTTTCCTTATTAGTCTTATTAGTCTGTGCCTAGAAGTGACAGGAATCAGAAATTTGGTGGTATGTGATTTACTAACATTCTCTGGATTTGCATATTCCTCGATATGGATCCAAAAATGTAAAGAATATGTCAACATACTTTTAAAAAAATCTCCAAAAGGAGAGCAGTCCACCCCTAGGGTGACAGGTGAGGCTTTGGCACTGAAGAGGCCAAGGGACATTCCCACAGAGAATGATCAGGACTCAGCTTGCACTGCTGCCTTCCTAGGAGGTGGCAAAATGGGGTCAAAGACATTCAAGCAGAAAGTGTGGTGTGGCAGAAAGACCTGGGGTGTGCAGGCAGACTCACTTCAGTTCAAATCCTAACACTGGGTAGGTGCTCAAAAAGTGATAGCAATGGTAATTTCTCTTCCTCTCCTTGCCCTGTTTTGTTCTGAGAAGGCCAAACCCTGAGCTCAACAATGGCCCCAGGAGCTGTCATGGCAGACCAGAACTTCTGGGCCTCCGAGGCAAGGTGTTCTCCTTGGGCTTGATTGCCAGTTTCCATTCCCAAATAACATCGGCCCTCCCCCCGCCCCCACCCAGTGCTGACTCGGGGCACCTGCTGGAGGATAAGGGGAGGGAAGCGGAGAGGAAATCTGGGCCTTTGGCATCTGCCCTGCCTATAGAAGTTCGGGATGGAAAACTCAGGGCAAGCCTCTTTGGATGTTTGCTGGAGACACACATCCAGATTCAACTGGCTACGTCTGGATTGATATGCCCAAAGCGCTGAGCTGCCCATCCCGGCCTCCGAGTCAGGGTGCCAGGCTCTCTCCACGGAGGTGGAAACAGCAGAAATGCCCCTCTTCCCCAGAGCAGTGGCTCTCAGGCTCCCATGTGGGAACTTACCCTGTAAAATAATTATACACCTGGCCGCTTCCTCAGCCCTTTCTAGGAATACCTGTACCACTGCTCAAGGTTTGCCTTTATCTGGACAGCATGTTAGCTTGTAAAAAATAGACTAATATAACCTGAAGAAAGATGTTAACAGCGGAGGGGGGGTGTCACCTGCTGGTTTGGATAGTTTGAACCAGGGGGTTCTAGCAGGGCTTCAGGAGATGACGGTTCAGAGCAGGTTGCCTACAGAGGGTCAGGAGTTGAGGTCAGGAGGAGAGCTGTCACAGTGGATCAGCTACTGTGAAGTCACTTGCTGCCCCCAGGGTGAGGCAGGCTAATGCCATGAATGCAGGCCTGGTAGGAACTGTGACACAGCACGAGGGAAGAAATGCCCTGAATGCCTGCCCATGTTGCCAGACCTTTCCCTTTCCTTAGAGAACCCAAATATCTGCACTTTATGTGACATCTCCAGGTTTTCAATGATGACAGTGGGGCACCGGGCCCGCTCAGTCTGAAGAGCATGTGACGATCTCAGGGTTGTGAGTTCAAGCCCTGCACTGGGCATAGAGTTCACTTAATAAAATCTTTAAATGATGACAGTGAAATGGAAGTTTAAAAAAGTGTCATATGGCCAAAGGATGTCTCTGGGGCCAGAATCTGGCCTGTGGCCTGCCCCTCTGGCACGCCTGTTGTCAGTTCATTTCCTCATGCTTCCCTCTCTTTCCTACCCTCCCTGCCCCTCGTCGTGCTGCCAGGTATGCCTCGGCCCTGCAGGACGCCGTGGACACCCACAGGCTGTTCAGGAGCCGCTCCCTGCGAGAGTTTGAGGAGACCCTGTTCTGCCACACCAAGAGTTTCCCCATCAGCTGGGACACCTACTGGGACCACAACGACCCCCTCCGGGATGTGGACGAGGCCGCGGTGCCTGTGCTGTGTATCTCCAGTGCCGACGACCCCGTGTGCGGGCCCCCGGACCACTTTCTGCCCGCGGAACTCTTTCACAGCAACCCCTACTTTTTCCTCCTGCTCAGTCACCATGGAGGCCACTGCGGCTTCCTGCGCCAGGAGCCCTTGCCAGCCTGGAGCCACGAGGTCACCTTGGAGTACTTCCGGGCCTTGACGGAGTTCTTCAGAACGGAAGAGAGAATGAAAGGGCTGAGCAGGCACCGGGCTTCATTCCTGGGGGGCCGGCGTCGCTGGGGGACCCTGCAGAAGAGAGAGGCCTCTCCCTCTTCCAATCTGGAGGAGATCTTTAGCTGGAAGCGATCATACACGAGGTGAGGGCCTGCCTGAGAACAGAGCCGGGCACGCAGAGTCCTGAACCAGCTGCGAGGACAGAAGGGGGCCTGCACTCGGGGCCTTTGTGGCTGATTCGGCCCCTCTCTTGGACTGGTCTGTGGAAGAAGGAACTTCCAGCAAGCTGGTGCTCACTTACCCTGAGAACACTCCTGCCCCACGTTTGCGCAACACATTCCAGCTCTTTCTGGTCCGCAGCTGGGCTGTCACTGTCCTGCTGTCCCGTCACCGACCTCATAAGCCAAAGAAGAGCCCCCTTTGAGTCTATGGACTCTTGAGAAAATGCTCTGTGACTAGCAAGGGCTCTAGAAAGAATGGGTGTATGTGCGTCATTGGAAAGCTCTGTCTCACATAAATCATCTGCTCTCTGACCCTGATTCTTGAGCCGGAGCCACTCAGTGTCATGAGGACAGGATGTTTGTGTCTCAGTACCACTTCCCTCCTTTGGCTCTGTGGCTGTGGCACTCTGCTGACTTCAGAGCCGAAGGGCTCCGTCAGTCTTGCGTGAGTGTGGGAAAGGCGGCCGAGGCAGCAAGTGCTGTGCTGAGACTGGGCTGGCGAGGACGACGAGGTACAGAGAGCATGTGTCTGTCATCTGGAAGGCTGAGGTCCCGTCTTCCAGACGAGTCCTGCAGGTGTCTGTTGGGCTGATCTGGGCCTTCAGGCTAGGACTTCAAGCCTAGGGAGATCTTCAGGATGATTTTAGGAAGAGGGAGTCCTCGAACACAGGGCCTGCCAGCCTCTCAGGCACGCTGGCTGCTCCCTCCAGCACCATTCCTGGGGATTACTCCAGAAAGTCCCAGCCAGAGGTGTTTTTCTCCTGCGATGCAGGCTTCTTCTAGGTGGTGAAGACTATAAACCTGCTATCGTTGGTGTTTTCTGGTTCGTTGCCTTCTTTTCTGACACTACTACCGGCCTCTTCCCGTCCAGGGCCTGGAGAGACATCTGGGACCAGAGAAAACAAAAGTTCCAAGAGGTTGGCTAGTGCTTACTCAGTGATTTACGAATATTTCACATTACCACGCTTTTTCTGCTCCATTTATTCAAAAGGCCATCTGTGTCGATGTAGAAAAAGCTTTTTCCTGGAGCTGGCCACTCGCTGGCGGGTTTTATGGTGTTTGGTTTTATGAGGAATAATCCTGAAGATCAGAGTAAAGCAAAACATGCTACAGATTGATCCCCACATCCTGGTTTAAATTAGGCCATTAAACAATATCATAGGACATCTAGTTCTTTGTGTGGCTGTGAACTTAGCCCCGAAGTTTTATTTTAATTTGTTATCAAGAAAGAAGACACCTGTTTTGACAGGAAGCCCCCTCCTAGCCTCAAGACAGCAAACCAATTTTAAAGAGGAGAGAGGTTTATCAAAAGCCCCATCCTATAGCTCAGTATGAGGAATTCCAGGGATCATAATTTCAGACTTGGATCATCTTAGTCCAGCTGTGTTCTAGGTCAAATTGGAAGAAACTCTGAACTATCCTAAAATCTCACCTGAGGTGCAGAGGACACTCAATTATATCTGAGGCACATTATCCTGTCATGAAAAAAGTCACTTACCTCCTTCATTTCTTGCTCCCCTCCTCCACGTTCCCCATCTGATAGTCCTTCACCCTTTCTGAGCAGAAGTAACGAGGAACTGAAATCTAAAGCCATTCCGCTGCTAGTTCACAGCCCCTGTAGAGGGCTTGCTGAGGAAGAATTCCTTACATCTGGCCACCCCCCCCCCAGCATCTGGTATAGTAAGGATTTCAGTTAATTAGGGTGCTGCAGCTGCCCCACCCCCCATGTAGGACCCCAGGATCATTCAGAACTGACTGCAAAATGGAGAGCAGCCCAGTAGGTTTTAACCTGTTGGGGCTTATGGGGCCCCAAGGGCTGAGCTCTGGATTATTGTTCTAGGCCAGATACCATGGGACTCTGGTTTTTTAAGGTAATAGCTTTTGGAGAAATTGTGGTTGGTTTTCTTTTCCTTTTTTATAAGAAAGCAAGCCTGGAGGGGTGGGGCATGGGTATATACATGTAACATTTTTCTTTCAGTGACAGCCCCAGCTTCATTCATTGCCTTGGACCCACAGCCCTAGTACCTAGACCCTAAGGTATTTCTCCTCTGTGTCCCCTGCGCCCCCCTATGCTTATAACCTGTCTCAGGAAGCCACTTCTTTCTCATCTTTCCATTATTGCTTTTTCAGCAAAATTTGCCAAGAATGTGCAGTTCCTGTTCAAGTAGGTTTGGGTGACCCTGACTTTCAGTCTAACTGAAGGAATCGCCCATATTCACTCAGCTTTGGTGAACAGCTGATCAGACAAAACCAGTGGGAAGAACCCCAGGCACACTATTCTGAGACAATTTGTCACCTTTGAACAAAATACCAAGTTATGCGTTTGAGGAAACAAGAAACAACAAAATAAAACTAAGACCACCCAAAGAAGTACCACTGAGTTGGTTTTCCAGGTCTCTTAAGAGCCTTAAGCGATCCTCACAGGCTTCATTCACTTGCTTGCCTTCCTTTGGGTCTCTTCAGTATTTCTAACCACCTTCAAGTCTTAAGAGACAAAAGCAGCAGCAGCCCCCAAAACACAATGGCTTGGAGGAGGTATGATGGAGTCCTCTGTCTCCCCCCACTGGATCAGAATGCAGGAAGCAAAGGACTGCCTCTGAAGGCTTCTGATCTCTAAGACCTAACACTGTGCTTGCTATAACTTCATTCTCCTAAGAGAGTATTTTATGTTCTTTATACATAGGTTTCTAGGGTGGCTTGGCCAGAGACGACAGTATGCAGAATGAAGCCCCAAATCCTCACTTTGAGGAGATACCATCTCTGTTTCGAGTGAAGGTATCCTTCCTACGACTTGAGTACTGTTAAAAAAAAAAAAAAAAAGCCTTAACACAGGAAGTATCAGTTTGGCTTTATAGTTAACCTCAAAATTACCCCAGAGTCAGAAGCTCCTCTCTACTTATCTTCCAGCCAGACTGGAGATCTTCTGTCAGTCAGCCATCCCTGGTAATGCCCAGGTATCTTCCTTTAGAAATGAACCTTAGCATGAATTCCTCTCCCTGCTTAAATAAGCAGATACAATTGGCCACTTGGGTAGAATTTGGTAACAATGCCAATGAGTATTTGTGATTCTTTCACAACCCACGAAGGATGGCATCAGAAATCTTCCCTAGTTCTCCTCACTGGCAGAGACAAGATTGAAAAGTTATACACAGGGAGTGCCTGGAGACGGAGTGAACACCTCAGGAAGCAGGAATTCCCACGTCACTGGTGGGACACGCAAGCTAGACTACTGTTTGGCACACATCACGGTGTGGACGTATGCCAGGAAATAAGGGTGTCCTAAATGAGTTTTCTTTTTTCAAGTAAGCTCTATGCCAAGAGTCCCATACTCTCCTGACTGAGCCAGCCAGGCACCCCAAGGGTGGCCTAGATTAGGTAGAAGGTCTCTTCTCATTTGGGGTGAACCAAAATAATGCAGATGAGCTTGGTGTGTTGTAAAGACTTTTGGTTGGCTTGAGGATCAAGGAGATCACAGACCTGATCCAGATTCTGGGAGTTGGGAAATGACATAAGATTTTAATGAAAATTGAGCCACCTAGGCACCCCAATAAATAAAATCTTAAAAAAAAAAAAAAAGATTTTAATGAGAATAACCTTGCCAAAGTGACCAGAGGATGTTTTAAAATGTCCAGGAAGAACTAAGAGTTTGAAGGAAAACTCTTAAAAGACACTACCAAAAATAAATGTCTCTAGCCCCTCCACCTCCAGCCTTCCTGTGTAATGAGGTAATACCCTAGTACTTACCACTAGTGTGGTTGAACAAAAACTTCTCTCCAACTTGTTTGCTTCTGAATAATAAATCGCAGTCTCCCTGCAACAGCGGAATGTCATTATTTTTTAAATCTCCAGAAAACAAAGGCACTGTTTGTCTTCTGAAGTCCTCTGTGTACTGAGCCATACATGCTCACCTACCTGCAGAGTGAACAGAGCCTCGCTGTACATTCTCTCTTCACCGGCTGTTGCTTCACTTCTGTACATCTAGCTTTGTGTCTCCCCACGCTAACCAGTGGCAGCTCTGTTTAATCAACAACCAGGCCTCCTGTTCTGGGCTAATAATTTCCCAGCAGGCTCAAAATTCCCTGATCATCAGTGGTACCCACATAGAGATATTTTCCACTGAGCAATTAGTAATTTGGGCATTGAATACAGAGTACTGAAGTAGCTTGGAGATGTGGGTTCCAGTTTCTACTTTATCTGTGACCTGTGTGTCTTTGGGAAAGTTATTTTAGAAGTTGTTCCATATGAAAAGACTGAGACTATAAATAGGCCCTAATTTTTAAAAGATTATTTATTTATTTGACAGAGAGAGAGAGAGAGATCACAAGAGATCACAGAGAGGCAGGCAGGGAGAGGGAGAAGCAGGCTCCTTGCTGAGCAGAGAGCCCGATGCGGGGCTCGATCCCAGGACCCTGAGATCATGACCTGAGCCAAAGGCAGAGGCTTTAACCCACTGAGCCACCCAGGTGCCCCAGACCCTAATTTAAAAAAAAAAAAAAATTATTTTAGAGAGTGAAGAGTGTGGGGGTGGTAGTGGAGGGGGTATAGAGGAAGGAGAGAGACTCCCCACTGAGTGGGGAACCCAACATGGGGCTCAATCTCAGGACCCAGAGATCATGACCCAAGCTGCAATTAAGAGGACGCTTGACTCACTGAGTCACCCAGGTGTCCCAATAGGCCTTAATTTAGGATATCTGTTAGGATATAATGAAATAGTAAAAGTAGGTGAGATCCCATTCTCTAAGTCTACTTAGTTCATCAACTGAAACTCAAAGATAAGGTGGCATCTGCTTTCAGATCAAAATGTATTCTCCAATTCTTCTAAGGCCAAGAAGTTCCAGTCATTCCACTGCAAATTTGGGAAGGGCCTACATGAGCTGGGTCCTGGTTGTCCAGTTGAGGGCAGACTCGCCCCACCCCCTTCTCAAACACGTGTACACATACACATACTCAATAACCTTATTGTAGCTAAGAGGGTTCACACTGG